CCCCCCCCCCAAATACCCCAAATGCCCCCAGTGCCCCCCAGCAGCCCACGGGCCGGTCCCCACAGGCCTGACAGAGGACGAGGACATCAAGCAGATGCTCCAGGGGTCCCTGCTCCGGAAGGTCAGGGCCAAGGGGGGCTCCCGGGAGCGGCTGTTCCGCCTGCAGGAGGACGGGGTGACCGTGTGCTTCGAGGGACGCTTCGGCCGCACCCGCTCCCCCCAGAGCTGTGAGTGCCCTGGGGACCCTCCCCCGGGGGCTTGGGGACACTGAGCCACATCCTGCACAGCCACGAGCTGCGGGGAGGGGCCAGGACTGGGGCAGTGCCACAGAAATGCCCACAGGGGTTCCCACCTGTGGATCAGATCCCCGTCCAGGACCTAGACCCCGAGCCAGACACACCCAGGGCTCAGACCCAGAGCCTGATCCAGGACGTAGTCTACAACCCAGGACCTTGACTCTCAGCCAGAATCCAGACCCCAGCATGAGACCCAGATCCACCCAGACCCTACCCCAGAACCTGGACCCCTACTCAGGACCCAGACCCATTCGCAGCACCCAGAACCCCACCTGGACCCCCACCTTGGACCCAGACCCCAGCCCTGTTCCCAGACCCCCACCCAAGACTTGGATCCCCACCCAGAACCCAGACCCCACCTGAGTTCCAGAGCCCAGCCCAGGACCCAAACCCTATCCGGATCCCCATCTGGGAACTGGACCCCAGATCCTCACCCTGGCCCCAGATGCCAATCCAGGACCAGCACCCTCAGCCTGGGACCCAGACCATCACCCAAGATGTGAACCCCAGCTGAGAAAATGGACGCCCACCCAACCCACTGCACCCAGTGCCTCCCAGTGCCTCCCAGTGCCTCCCAGCACCCCCCAAGCCGAGCCCCCAGAGCCCCCACCCTTCCCCATCCGCCTTGGGAGGTCCCGTTTCTCCATCCTGGCCAGACTCTGTCCCCGCTCCCGGCGTCACCCCTCTCTTGTCTGGGACGGGTGCCCGGAGCTGGCAGCGCCTCGGGGCAGCTCCGTCGCGTCCCCCGTCCCCGCAGGGACAAGCGGCACCGCTCCTGTCTCGCCTGGGATTAGCGGGTTAAGCCCGGTTTGCCACACCGGCGGGACCGGAGCGCTGTCCCCCCGGGGGGACAAGCGCTCCGGTGGGTGGGTGACACGCCGAGGCAGCGCTCCCATCGCCCACCCCCGCGGTGTCCCCCGCAGTCTCGGTGACGCACATCGAGGGGGTGCGAGAGGGGCACCAGTCGGAGGGGCTGCGCAAGCACGGGGCCGCCTTCCCCGAGCGCCACTGCTTCACCCTCGTCTTCAAGGGCCGCCGCAAGAACCTGGACCTGGCGGCCCGCAGCGAGGAGCACGCCCGGCACTGGGTGCAGGGGCTCGCCAAGCTCATGGGGCGCCTGCAGGCCATGAGCCAGATGGAGAAGCTCGACCAGTATCCTTTTTGGGAGCTCTGGGAGAGGGGAGGGCACGGGGACGGGCTGTGCCGAGTGGTTTGTGGTTTCCTTACCCGGTGTAGTTGGATCCACGGGGTCCTGCAGAGAGCGGACAAGGACAAGGACAACAAGATGTCCTTCCAGGAGGTGAAGAACATGCTGAGGATGCTCAACATCGACATGGACAATGTCTATGCCTCCAAGCTCTTCAAGGTACTCGTCCTGTGGGTCCACCACCCACTGTCCCCGCTGCTGTCACTGCAGGGAACTGCTCCTTCCCTGCTTCCTGCAGAGAACTGAACAACTCCTCACACCCAAGGGCACCCACCACCACCAGTGGCTGGGGCCCACCAGGAGCAGGAGCACACGGTGGGGTGGGGTGAGGTAAGCTGCCATCCCCTCCCACTGACCCCAGGGTCCCCAAGGTGTGGCATTTTCCCCCCATGGGGAGCTATCCACAGGGGCATCTCCCAAGGTTCCCTTTCCACCTGGGGAAACTGAGGCACAGAGGGGACATGCCAGCAGCTGAGACTCCCAAACTCATCACACATGCTGCCAGCCCCAGGGGACAGGCAGGACAAGGCAGGGGGTGGATATACCCTCTTCCCACAGGCCATGGGGTAGACATCACCCCCGTGGTTGTTCCCAGTCTGTCCCCAACCTG